ATGGCTTTTGGGGATTCACAGTCAAGAGTTTACATTTACATGTTTGTATTGCATGGAGCTGGCCTTCGTACATGTGTTCATTCAGTTGGACTGAATATTAAGAGAGACTGTAATTGTGAGGAATCCTCTCTCTGGACTCTGGACTGCTGAGAATTTACCTCCAGAATCACTATATGTATGTATTAATATACGTGCTATGTCTGTGAGGAACCAAGATTATTGTGTTTGATTCTCATGTGTGAGGCTCCAGAATGTTCAAATGAATTATCTCCCTTGATTTTAAACTTTATCTGATGATTTCGTATTTGCTTGTATAGATATTTTTGTTTCTATTTGAAACACACAGACCTTTTGAATACCAAATATAACGAACTACATGTTAGAGATACTTTAACCTTCTATTTCTATCCAAATGATATCATTCTAGCTTCATTCATCAGAGTTGGTTTTCAGCATATTCCACCTGTATTCATTGCAGCCATATGTTAACATTCATTCCAATCTGAAAGTATAGGTGGTTTTTTTCACAAACAAAAGGGTGATCAGTATTGTTCTATGAACTGTTAAGGTAAGTGTAGTTAGATGCAGACCAACCATGGCAGTATAAACCAACAATAATGACACACAAAAACAACAGACATGTTTCCATAGTAACCAAGACTGTGGACCACAGACAACATCTGCAGCTGTGCTCGATTGGAACGTGGCAGACACTGGAGATTACCAAATCTAAAACCAGTTGTTACGGGCCTTGACTGTTTCCTAGCTACCGATTACGATGTGGGGCTTTAGGACCCAGTGTTCCCCAGTGGTAGCTGGCTCCTCCTCCAATTTCGCAAGCGACCAATCCGGCTCCCTTGTCCTCATAGTCAAGAATATAAGAAACCCTGTGTGATGTTGGGACAGGGTTTAGAAAGAGGGCTTGCATTTTGTTATGTGTATGATTTGGTGGCACCCTCTGCCCCAAACTGGTGTATAGATACAAGTTATAGTTTTGTCAGAAGAGATGAACAAAGAAAAACAGAGAAAATTATGATGGAACATGGACCTCTTTGGAATAACAGAAATAACACATCAAGTGCATGCGCACACACATACACACACACACACACACACACACACGACAAGTGAAGAGAAGCCTTTCTCACACAGATATGTGGTCGCATAGGCAAGGAGAAAGCGCACATGCTTGTCAGATAGTGCAGGGTATTTACTGTGTCGTTGTATCCAAAAGTCCAACTACAACTCTCTTTTGAAAGCAGACTTCAGTGTTTCGTCGCACGACAGCTCTATTAAATTCTCCTGCTCACCAACAGTGGATGATAATGTAGAAATATCAAATTTATACTTGTTATTTAAGTAATAATGGAAAAATAAAATAATGATTTCTGGTACTCAAAAACAAGATATTTAATGAATACCTAGAATATCAAATGATATTGACATTTATCGCAAATAAATTACACAGGAAATGAATACGGGTCAAAAACCCCATGTTGTGCATTAGAAGGGGTTTTCATAGCTTGTGTGTCAAAGAGTTAACAATAAAAAGCTGTGTAGAAACTGGGTTGTCACATAATTCAAATGTATGTTATGTTACAACCCAGTTTTAATCTAGGAGGATGGGAAGCAACACATGTTTAAAAACATATCATTAATCCATTCATGGCCTCATATCTTTGCTTCTCTAACAATTGGTTTGCAGACATAAGTAAACATTACTTTGCTTTCTGCGGCTGACCAACAAACTGCTGCTGGAAAATAAGAGGAACACAGAAACAACATATTTCACTGATTCTTAATTTATGACACAGATTGTTATCAGAATATATCTTATCTTGTATCATTTTTAAAACTGCCATTGTCCTCCCATCCCCAACACCTATGTGTAAATGCCCTCTCTTTTTAATGTGACAACCTTCCTCTGAGTTTGTCTTTGTTTGTCACCCATGGGTGGAGCTGGGAAGGGCCCTCTGTACACTGCCATCTGAGACTGATTGACTCTAGAGTGTACAAGGGAACCAACTTGGCCAATGTCACTCTTTCCTTTTTCTACGCAGCCGACTGCTTGAACACGTGTTCACGGCTCACTCAACACAGCACACATCACACTGCTGACTTTCTGATTTCCACAGTTTTTGTTCAAAACAAACTGAATCAAGGTTGTTTCGTGCGGCCATTTGTAACATTCTCACTGAATAACTGAGGATAATGTATCCCATTTATTTAGCCTCTATGTGACTGATCACACAACAACAATCTGAATTTCATATCTACATTACATTTCATTTAATGGATATAATGCAATATTGTTCAAGACATTATGCAAAGACATGTACAAATGTGTTTAGGCATAATATTAAAAATATATTTCTTTATTTAAAAAAAAATCCCAGATCCAAGTCCATGTTGCCCAACTAGAAAGCCCCCCCCCCCAGGGACGCACACATCAGCCAAAACATTGAGGCCAACTGCATATACAGCTACCGTGTCTGTTTCAGTTGCTGCAGAAGCTGAGTATAGCGCCCCCCATCAGGACTCTATAAGAATCCTCATGCTGTCTTTGGCATTGAATCACATACACACAATATTTTCATATAAAATGTACAAGTTAACCAGTCCTTCTCACCTTCATAAACCATTACAATACATACATACACAGTGGTATGACTAATATTGGCTCATATAACAACATTGAAAGTGGTATTCCATCATAGCTGCCATAAGAAAAGAAAACGTGAGACAGAAAAGACAGCGGGTTTCTTTTCCACTATTTTTAGTTTGAAATGTATTCCTGATGATGCTGCATTGACTTTAGAATGGCCTACCTTTAAAGACGTGGGCTGAAAGTTTTACAGTTTTACGTATCAGATATTAGGTTGATATTAAGTTAGTGTTGAGCCATTTTACAGTAACTATTCCTGGCATGTCTTACTTTTGACATGCACATACATCTTTGCTGATATGCATTTGCATCATCTAAGGTGAATTAAGTGTAGAGGTCAAGGTCACTTGTAACATAAAGCTGTGCTGGGAGAATTTCTACCACATCCATGGTATGGGATAAATGTGTGTGTTGCTCCTCCTCCGTCGAATATTCTTGCAGCATGAAGAGACTGCAACCTATCAAACTAACATTATAATAAATTGACGATATAAGATATATCTTATTGAACAAAAAGGGTGACTTTCATATCAAGTTACTTTTTACACATTAGCACCAGTTCTCAGCAACGTGAAAGATCACTCTTGTCTTTTACAATGCATCATTATGAAGAAGAAGAAGCAGTATCTTAAATAATCTTTTTGCTGCACTTAAGGAATAAAATGAGGAGACCGAAGAGAAAAAGGAACAGTTCAGTTCAACACTTATATGATAAATGGAAAAATATCTTTTATTGCACTTTTCTAGTCTAATCACCCACTCAAAGCACTTCACACTACATGTATAATGGTATGACCATCAGCAGCCATTTAGGTTTGAGTATCTTGCTCAAGGACACTTCAGCATGTGGACCAGAAGAGCCAGGGATGGAACCATTTACCTCCCGAGATGTTGATGTTTATGGTTGGCAGGTGCATTCCAAATTGTCTTGTTTCTGTTGAATATAAATTGAAAAAGGCGTAGGACCCTTATCCATACAGAAGCTTTTTTTCAGCCTCAGGTAAATCTTATGCCTGGAAAAAAAAAACATAACTTTACCTCATCTGTTCCAAATATCAGACATAAGGTGTTTAGCTATTGGCACTTTCTTCTCCGACATTTGTATGGGAAGCTTGTCCAAGACTCCATCACTGCAGTCTGTTAGATTTTAACACATTAGACTATCTTGTAATAGCTTTCCTCCTCCAGGCTATATCAAACACAGCAGAGTCCTGTCCCCATATGGTTATTAGTGGCAGCGCTGAAGAGTGTGTGGAGTGGATTTTCTTCTCCCTCACAGGTGGATTTGAAGTGGTTCAGCTATCTGAGGACACATTCCTACACCTTTACTGAATCTGAGCAGTCTCTGCAGTTTCTATGTGCACTGCACTCAGCAGCTGCAGTGATGTGGGTATACCAGCTGCAGTATGTTAACTGGTGTATGGGTTTATATGTCGGGAGTGTTGTGAAGCAGTCTTCTAAAACTTACATCCACCAACTCATTTGCAATTTACAAAGATGTAGATTTGTTTTTGTGGTATTGCTGCCAAGATAAACAATTTTATTTTTATAAAATTGAAAAAACTATGGTATAAGGATAAATCAGAATATTCAGATGTCACAGCACAGGTGTTATTTGTTATTATTTGTCAATCTCAGGATCTGTTCTGGGCATCTTCTCTTGGAGGTTTTCTGTGCACATCCAACGGGGCCAAACCCCAGGGTTGACCCATCTGTCCTGGGAGCACCTCAGGATCCAAGGAGGAGCTGGACAGCATTTTTGGGGAGAGGGATGTCTGCAATACCCTATTAGGCCTGCGGCCAAGACAACCTCACCACGGATAAGTGGAGGAAAATGAATGGATGGAGTCTCAGGACCAAACAACCAGATATGGGCCAGCCAGAGGGCAAACACCAGTCAGAAGCAGAGCTGAGGAAGACGACTGGAGAGCTGCATGCTGAGGAGGGCGCACCGCTTTTTGTTTTATGATGGAAAATAATTGATGTGAAAAATGTGCCAGAATTATTGAACTGTGAAAGAAACAATTCTCATTTGCAGCTGATTTATTTTAACAGATATATATATACGAGGAAAATCAAACATCATTTTTGGTCACATGTACAGATTAATGTGAAGCCATGAGGTAGATTTACTAAAATTATAATAATATTTATGTAATATATAGACCATATATATATATATATATATATAGTCTATGTTTTTTCTTTTAAACTTATTCAAATGTATTAAGGTTTTTAGGAAGTAAGTATTGTATTGGGATAATACCTATTACTATACAATGACTATAATAAACTGACATTGAAAAAAAAAAAACGAAAGGAAGCAAACCAAAGACAGACAGGATATCCGGGGAACCGGAAACCTGGTGTCGTCTATGCTAGAGAAATGGATGTTAGCTCTCTCTTGATAAATCAGACCCAAACCTCGGCTAACACGAAATACTATGTTTTAGAGGCGGAATAACTCTGTCGACAGCAGCCGCTTCACTGCCTTGTGTTGTAAAACAGTATGAATTCAACTGTTTTCATTTAATGTCTCATTTGAATGACGTCTGAGCTGTAAGCTACCTGCTAGCAGGCTAGCGTGTTAGCTGCAAAGCCGAGACAGGAGCCACCTGTCACCCAGCGCAGCTCTCTTCAGGCGGTTCATGGCTGATAAGTAGGACCTCAAACCAACGGTGAACTCTGACTTTTTTCTTAGGTTCAGTGGAAGCGATTGTATCGGGAACCCCCCGCGCCTAAATGCCCCAACAAGGCCCCAGGATGAATGGGTTTTCTCTCGGTGAACTGTGCTGGCTCTTCTGCTGTCCGCCCTGTCCCAGCCGCATCGCGGCCAAGCTAGCTTTCCTCCCGCCGGAGCCCACGTACTCGGTGCAAACCGATGCTAACGGGGTAGCTAGCTTACATTTAACCGAGCGGGCGGACTGGCAGTACTCCCAGCGAGAGCTCGACGCTGTGGAGGTGTTCAGCACCAGGAGCAGTCGGGGTAACCGGGTCGGCTGCATGTTTGTACGCTGCGCCCCGAACAGTCGCTACACCCTGCTGTTTTCCCACGGTAACGCCGTGGACCTGGGGCAGATGTGCAGCTTCTACATCGGCCTCGGCTCCAGGATCAACTGCAACGTGTTCTCCTACGATTACTCAGGCTACGGAGTGAGCAGCGGGAAACCCTCTGAGAAGAACCTGTACGCGGACATCGAAGCGGCCTGGCAGGTCCTGAGGAACAAGTGAGTTTACAATTGCACCAGCAGCTCATGCAGTAAGATAGCACACGGTCATAATAAGAATCGTACACTTTAAATTCAAAAGTGCTGACTCTGTTCGTCATTGTTAGCCATTCAGTAACGGTTAACTAACAGACAGAGCAGAGAGGGTTTGCAGGAGACATGTGCTCTGTACACTCTGGTGCCTGCTGGGTGCTGGAGCAGCCTGCGAGCTGTTGAAGGCAATGTGAAGACCTTCTGCATCAGAGCTAGAAGATACTGTCTCAGCAAAGTAAAGTGTGGCTTTTTGTACGTTTGTGTCAAATGAATTTTAACACAGCACATTTCTGATTAGTTTGCACTCGCTCAGACTCAACCATAAAACAAGGTGCAGAACAAACAGTGGCTGAGTCTCAATTCAGGGGCCTCATCCTGCTTGCTGCATTGGAAGACCGATTGATAGACGAAGGCTCCTCCAAATGTTGCAGACATTCTACCCTGAGCAAATATGCTCCACCAAGTGGATCCTCCCTGGCCCAACGTATCCCACGAGTCATTGCACTTCGTCACAAACTGGTTTTCATTGAGGTTATGGTGGCAAAAAGCGAGGGGCAAATGTTGGAAGACTTTAGTTTTCATTGTAAGAACCAGCTTGATGCAGTTTACGTTGTCCGTGTTGACTGGGTCCTCTGAAAGATGCTGCCCCTCAGTCGAGACACAGGTAATTACAGCATCCAGAATGTGGGCTGCAAGCAGGCACAGACTGGAAAATGTCCCTGTGGGCCAGGCCTGTTGTAGGGTTGCTGAACACCACAACTTAATAAAAGGACTATCACACATATGCTTTTAGCAGTTGGCAAACATTATCATGAGGCACATACAGCAACTGACTTATCTAATGTTTCTAAATCACTGCCACAATTTCAATACTCACCACATAATGATTTATACTTTTCTTTAATGAGTAAAATATTTGTTCAAAGCTGCGCGCATTCACTCATTAATGACCCCGCTCACTCTCATCCTATCGTGCTGAAATGCACACAAACAGTTTTATGAGACACATGCGCACATTTAGTTTGGCGCGTGCAGCTGGGGATGATAGAGACAGAGAGAGGAGCAGTAAATTACTGACAGAGCCGACATTTATTAAAAGATCCAATTACGACCCAAATACAGTTCTGCCCCAAGCTTTTTGAGCTATATTAACGTTTGATCACTATGTCCGGTTTCCACTGCGATGTTTTCCTTGAAAACAAGTACTAGAATTTTGTCGTGAGGCGGAACTGGCACAAAATTTGAGGAACATGCAGGAAAAGACATGTACCATTACACCCCTAATAAATAACAGACATTGGCAAGAGATCTTTCAGAACCAAAATTTAAAAACCCAAGCAGACACATGGAATTTAATTTTGAGAAGGAAAGGCAGCTTTTACAAACATAGCACTCAATAGAGCATAATGATGGACACAGTTCCTGAGTAGGTATGTACTTGTTCTGCAGTTGTGATGTTCCACTGTGTTGAGTGGAAGCTCACCCTAAGTAAATTCATATGCAAACCAGCACTATTTAAAAAATATATATATATATATCTTGACTCAACCGAGCTGTAGTAGATGAGAAACAATAGACTGTCCAAATAAAACCTGGCTGTTTGTCATCAGCTGCAAGTACGTGGCTGGTATTGCTTTCAATTTTTGAGTATGTGAGTGTGTTTTGGGTTGTAATTTTCTCTTCGATTCATTGCTCGATACGTTCTAATCTGACTAAATTCTCACCAAAGGCACTACATAAACAGCTGTCCGGTGTTATTGCTTTTTATTACCGTACGCTGTCATGTGAATGTGAGATGTTAATTGGGTGCAGTGGTGAACGGTTGTGTTCAGACACTGAGGTGATAATAGTATGCAGATCCATTAAGCTCAGATGCTAATCATTAGCTCAGGAGTGTGGAAATATTCAGCCGCAGCTTCTCATCTTCATCATCTGGTGCTGAGCGTCACTGTTGCAGCTGTCACTAATTCACGTTAATTCTGTCTGTAACTTGGTGACGGGCTGAAATTAAAAGTGGTGCCTGTTGTTTGCTTGTCTGCACGCCACTGTCAGTACTACTCAGTTGAGTTTGAGTTTTTCTGTAGTTTAAAAAATCCTACAGAATAAAACAATTGCACAATAAAACATTATTTTATATTGTATTACTATTAAATTGTCTTATGTGCTCCTGATGGGAAAAAAAGTAAACCCATGCAAAAGTTTATTTCAAAGAGATTTGCAGACTCAGTGTAAATGGATCCCATTGCTTAATTAGTAAACCTAAGTATCAATAATTTCTATGTTCTGGAGAAAATACATTCCCGTTCAATTTGTCGCCCACATTTTCAGCCAATCACATGAGTGCAGCCCCACGAGGGTACGATCCCACCAGCGTTACTATGGCAAGTGAACCTGGACAAAATTTGTTACTCGTCACTCACGTTAAGTAGAAAAAAAACGCAGTAAAAAGCAGCGTCCTAGCGGAGTAAATGCTGTAAAAAGCGGGGATCGGATCATACCCTCTTGGGACTGGGCTCATGTGATTGGCTTAAAATTAGGGCGACATCTGATTGGCTACAGATAGGTCTGTGTCCAAAATAATGCATTTGTGAATCTAGCGACATCAGTGGAGTCTCAAAAAACCCACACACAAATGTGGAGTGATCCACACACAAATGCATACGAATCCACACACAAATGCAGAAATATATATATTTTTTACATTTATATACATTTATAACTATTTGTGTGTGCATTAGAATGTATTTGTGAATCTTTCTGTGAGCATTTGTGAATATTGTAACTGATCTGACCCCATAGACTGCAATCTACGCCCTCTTCCTGCTAGAACGCACACACACTGACTGATATAGAGAGCTAGTCCCTTGTTTATAAAATTGTTATTAATATTGAACATATTGTGTCCAAATAGCCCCAGTGCCCCAAACTCTGCACTGAACTTCCCATTACCACTAAGAATACACACAGTGTAAATCCAATTAGAAAAATGGTCCACATACATACAGATACACAGACTGTGGAATTAATAGGTAGAGGTCAATCAGGGCCCGAGGTTAGAGTGGTCGTCCTCTAACCAGAAGGTCGTATGTTCGATCTCAGTCTTCCTAAGTCCGCATGACGAAGTGTCCTTGGGCAAGATATTGAAGACTAGAAAAGCGCTATATAAGTAAACAGACCAGCCCAATATCAACTAATCTCTCAGATATACCTAGTGTGAGGTGGTCGGATGTTCATCACAATGCCTATGTTGTATAACTGATTGAATACCTCTGAAGTGAATGCATATTTAATGAAAGAAAGCTGACAGTGTAATTGTACTATTGTTGTTGTCCCTGTGCTATCATAGAATGATAAAGGCCAAAGGCTGATCATTACTCTATTAAATTAAGCAAAGCTATACATTTCTCATTCAGCACATGCCTTAGATTAATGTACCATTTGACAGACAGTCTAAAGTAACTGAAAGAAAAACAATAGCATCTCTCCACATACCTGTTTAAAATGAAAAATGTTATTGTTCCCTTGCCCTTTATAGAGTGAGCTACCCAAGCATTCAGTATAACAGTGTTAATCATTAGGCTCTTCTTCGGGGAGCTAAGCACCTGAGGAGGAGGTTTATGTATATTCAATGTCTTTTTAATTACATTTTAAAAATCATTCAGACTATGCCCTTAAACACAAGTTTGTCCTGTTACTCAGCTTTCAAGGCAGAAACACTCAAATAAAATTTTTCTTTTGCTCAAAGATCAGTTGTCTTGACGTTTTGGTAACAAGTTTAATATCCTTGTTTTTTGAAATTACATTTTCAGACAGTAGACCATACAGATTAACTACACTCCTGTCATGACCAAAGAGTTCCAATGTTTTTTTCATGGCCACAGTTTAAGAACATCTCTGAGAGTTAAAACGAAATTAGCGGAAACATGTTGTAATGTCAAAATAAGGGAGTGTGTCTTAAAACAAGAAAGTGGAATAATCTGTGACTCCATCACCATTGGGGTTTATAGAGATCGGAGCTCAGCTGGATATTCCAATAAGCCAATTTCTTTGAGTATGATTTTCTTTCATTATGGTTACACAAGCCTCGTCATATTAGTGAGAATGTGGGCTTTGTGGTTGGTGGTTGAAAAGCAGCCCGGGGTGAAGTTCCTGTGCTTATATTGAGAGATAAAAATGAAGCATGGAAATATCTTACCTCTGAGCCTTGGCTTCATTCTGTCTATGCTGGACATTGCTCTGTCTCTGATGTGGCTGGTATTGGCAGAACAGACAGTGTAACCCTGTACTGATGATGTGTATCTCCCAAATGATTTAGATTCCAGCCTGCAAATCCTGAGATTTATTCAAATCTATAGAAGCTTAATGTTTTTTTCCCTGCATTTCAAGTCCCTTTGAATAATATTTACTTTACCATACTGTGCTCAGGCACACTGTATTGCATGTTGATGTTTTGTGGATCTAGTGTTCACTGCCCTTTACTAGCATTAGCTTTGCAGTTTAGTTGTTAAAATATAATTAAAAGTAAAATTAGTTGCATATCATTATTATATGGCTGTCTCTTAGAAACATGCTGGAATTAGGTGTCTTTAAAAATTCGATTCACGTTCAAAGTATGACTCTGCTATGGTTCACTTTGTGAACATGTTTTACACTGAAATTGTCTACTAAACACTTAGTGTAGAGATAAAGCAATGGTGCTGTAGTGTGGAGTATAATGGGCACTGCCATTGTTTTTAGTATCTTGTAGATAGAAATGGACTATATAGATATAATCTTCTATCGCGGTATCATCTTATTCCATATTGCGATATTGATATATATCATGATCTATTAAAATTAAAAAGTAAAAAATAATCCCAATTATTAATTGATGAAGCAACAACTTGACATATCTTTTTGCCAGTTTGGTGAATTAAATACCCAACAAATCAAAATACTCGGTCACACTGATGAGAAATTCCATTTAA